CAAAACCTGGGTATGTTGGGACAGTCCGAGAATTCATCTGAGTGGGTGATCATAGTGACAAGATCAGCCCCTTTTGTCGGACAAAGGTAATGATCGGGGATGCACTCTCTCTGATGGAAACCAAGACTGCTGGCAGTCGATTTCAATTGTTGTGATTTTGTTTTGCAAAATATATTTATATAAAGATATATATCTATCTTTTGCAAAAGGTTTTAATTCCCGGGATCCATGTAAGAAGTGCAACACTGTTCCTTGCAGCTGAGGGAGAGGTCCTCCATTGTCGGGCAGTGTTTGATCATTATAGGCTGAGAGGTTAAGTGTAAGACCATTGAGGATAATACCTGATGGGCTAATCTTGCATCTGCCCACAGTCCTTGGGTGTTACAAGGTGGCTTGGCCCAGGGACCACTTAGGGTAAGTGTTGGGCCCATAACAATGTATTCGGCCAGGCCTTGTGACAAAGGCTAGGCTGAACCCATGTGACTGATGTGTAGATCAATGTTTGGGTCCCACGCCATACAAGGAAGCCCAACTGGGCAGCAGTTTGGAATGCTAAGTGAGTACATAACCTTAAATGGGCCTAAAGCCCATTTCGAACTAGGCTGATTTGATTAGTCAATTAAAGGGGCGAATTCTGAGATGGATCAGCTGATAGGATTGGGCCTAGACCCTATCCACTTAGAGAGTCCAAGATCTAATAAGATTTAGATCTGGAAGCCTCATAATTAGATTAGGAGATGGCTGATCTAATCTGCAGATAAGATAAGGGTTCTCCCTTATCACTTAAAGGGACTTCTAATCCAAATATAWWTTGGATCAGCAGCTCCTAATAGGATTAGGAGCTGATCCCTTTAAATCTATAAAAGGAGGAGGGGGCGGTAGCCTTTTGATATGCATCCTAAGACTCTTGTCTTCAAAGTTGAAATCATAGAAGAGAGATTTCTGCAACCTCTACAAAATCTCTCTTGCCGCCTCCTTCCTGCCGCCGCCATTACTTTCAGTTCGATCTCCAGTTCTTGGGAGAAATCAAGATTTGATCATGATACCAATCTTTTGGGAAAAGATTGATTGGAGCTGTACTCACAAGCCATCCCGTTGATTCTTGCAAAGGGTCAAGTTCTTTTGAAGAACATTGCTGATTCTGCTCCATCCTGCACTGCACCATCTTTAGTGGGAGCAATCTTTGGATCCTTCCTTGGGCGTGAACACATCCATTGGGAGATACTAATTCTCCGTATCAGGTACATCCTCCCTCCTACTCCTTTTGGTTCAGATCTGGTTTGGTTCATGGTTCAAGATTGATCCTTGAAAAAAATGTTTTTCTAAAATATGGAATTCGATTCCCTACAAAGATGGGAAAATTTTTTTTGAAATTCGCCCAGCCCATTCCGCAAGATTTGGGCGTCCATGTGATGGATATCCCATCCCTTCAGGAGTATTGTAAACAAATACTGACGTGTTCATCACTAATAAGTTGCATATCCTAGTGTACATAATTCCATTCCATGATGATGCAGTCCGATCAAGTATAGATTGACAAAATAATGGCAATTGCTCTTTTATGAATATTTTAAACTGTTTTGCCTTGGAGTAGTTTTTTTTCTTGATTGGGTGTAATTTGGGTCTAGTGCTATTTTGGTTCTCAAACTTTAAAATTCGATAATTTAGTATCCAAATTTTTAAAATGTGCCAATTTAATATCTATTATTAATTAGTCTGTTAACCAACCGTTAATTGTCATTTGAAAATACACAAATATCCTTCAAGTATCATCTAATTCTTTTTATCAACCATCTAAATGCTGATAAAAAATGAACAATCTTAAATCCTTGCCTCTTTTATTCAAGAAAATTGAGGTTATGTCTCAATGGGCATTCTGGTGATCCTAACTTTGTTTAACAGAAAAGGTAAATATTGTCACATTTTGACCGTTTGGGATACTAAATTGTCACGTTTTAAAATTCGGGTAACGTTTGGCAATTTTTCCTTCTTAATTTTTCGTCCTAATCTCCACCCAACAAAAACCTGTTCCAACCAGCATCGTCAGTGTCGGTACACTTTTGTTTTCAGATGCAGTGTAAATGAAAGGGGAAAAGAGTGCATAAAATAACATTCTTTTCATTTATTTTCATCAACTCAGACTAAGGTTTCACCGTGTAGAAACAACGGTAAACAACACCACCCACGGCTTATCCAGTAGCCTCAAGACCACTAACAAAGAGCGAAGCGAAAACATGCATTTGTTTTCTGCCAAGGGCCAGACCAACCTCCACCCCACCATCTCCATCTCTGCTCTCTACCATGGAGAACGCTCCACTCTTCCATACCGACGCTATCTCCACCTTTCTGGGCTTTCCCCACCCAAAATCAATGTCATAAACGCTCAACTTAGGCGACCAGGAGACTGAAACTAGTCTCTCGGACCTTGCAGCAGCCGTGATTGCTGAATCAGTCTCCGCCAGATCTCTCAGGACTCCGTTATCCAGCTGCTTAACAGTCTTATCGATTGCTTCCACTGCTACAGCCATCCCATCTTCTCCCAGTAACTGACTCATGTCCATGGTTACGAGGTTTGCTCGAATGCAATTACCAAAGTAAGTCATAGGAACAGGTGGGTCTAAGCGAGTCCTGCAACCTGCAGAAAATACGAAGTGAGCCTTCCTCCTGCTCGCGCCTTCTGCTTTAACCAGGCAAATCCACACATAGGCGCAGGCCAAAGCGTACCGCGTTGTATGCTTTGCGTATTTATCCCCATCTGGTCCACTAACAACCCATTTTCTGAGCCGCTCAACATCGCTCGAGCTGAGCACGAACGTGGCTTGGACAATGTTGAACAGATCTCTGTTCTCTGATAATTTCAAGCTTCGGTTTTGAGACTTGGGCTCGGACAGGTTCGACTCCAGCAACCTTGTCAAGAGGAGTCTCTCGATTCCTTGAGAATCCTTGATAATTGTTCTGTCGTAGGACAGCCTTGGCGATGGGTGGTCACCTCCTCCTCCAAGCCTACAGGACGAAGCCCATTCCTTCATGAACAGAGTTATCGTGTTACCGTCGGCGACCGCTTGGTGGACAGTAATTCCGACGCAAACGCCGCTGTTTGGAAAGACGGTGACTTGTAGGGCCATGGCAGAGGCTAATGTGTCAGAGGTTGGCAAGTCAGGGAGGAGGGACTGGTATTCATTGACGTCCCACATGTAGTTCTTAGCAGAGAAACGATGGAAATCGCTGTAGCACTCAGCTAAGGTTAAGCAGACAGAGTCCTCGTCAATGAAACGGAGGACGGGCTTCTCAGATTCTCGTGGCCAAGTGAGGTTTCCAGCAAGAGCATAGAAGTGCTGGAGAGTGAGAGAGAGGGAGTGCTTGATGTTGTGAAGCAGCGTTTCTGTGAAGTGGGTTAGCCGGAAGAAGTAAAGGATCTGGAGGGGTGGGTGTCTTAGCCATTGTAGGTCGAAGAAGGTAAGAGGGAGTGACACTTCGGTGACTGACTGAGGTGGAGGAGCGACGGAGAACATCTCCAGAACCTTTACTTTGGGTGGAAGTGCCCCCATTAGAGCCTGATGTGACGAGAGAGAGAGACGTAGAAGTTGTCTTGAAATATTGAAACTGCACAGGAAAGAAAATGGTGTGTGGTCAGAAATGCTTTGTGATGAAAAAAGAGCAGTAGACTCCATAATATATATATAGATGAAGTGGGATATCACAACATCCCACATCACATCCCCGCCGTGTATTAAAAATATTTCGCGATAATAATTTCTGATACATATCGAGAGATGTTCCCATACAGGATGAAATGTAGTGTGAGACGTTGTGGGGCGCAAATCTAAACTCGTGTGGAATAATAATTGACACGTGGGACAATTCAATTATTCAATCACGTTCACAGTAGATGGTAGGTAGCAAAGAGGGGAAAAACTTTGACTAATTGGAAGTAGGAACAGCCTGGATCTCATACCCGGAGGACACCACAGCCACACACATGGCTTATACATAATAATTAAAGATATCTTTTAATGAATTTACATCTTCACCCTGCAACGCCTTACATTACATCTTGCCGTGTATTGGGAATATCTCACAATAATGATATCATCAATTCTGATAATAACCATCAGAATTGTGATGTGGGGTGAGAGCGGATCTAGTGTAAATTTGATGCTAAAATATTATTGGGGTGACCCTGTCCCCCTGGTGGGGTTTTTGGCGGGGCATTTCAGTTTGGGGTTGAGAACAAGGGAATACAAAACCCTGCTTTTTCTGGCCCTATTGTCATTCTTAAGCATAGATTAATATTTTAATTATCTTTTCTTTTCACAGCAAACAAACTACATATTAGGATTTAGGAATGGCAACAGGGTGGATTTGGAGCAAGCATTATATTTCCTGTCCGCGGTATTCACGGTGGAAGCAGTTGTATAAGTGCATGCCATTGTGCTTCTGTTGAACTTCTAGCTTAAGGCTTAAGGTTGTGTTTGGTTGCAGTATTTATACCAGTACAAATGTAAGAAATGCAAATTCTTGTTTAATTTTTTTGGATTTTATTTTATTTTGCTTCATATCTTAATTTACTTTATTTATACTGCAATCAAACAAAGTAAGCTAAAATTTGAAACAATAATATGTCAGAATTTACACTCAAATCATTTGTATTGTCATGGTTTTGCATCAGTACAACTTTATTTGCATTGCAACCAAACACAACCTTTTGTCCAATTGCTGCTATCACCCTGCACTCACTTGTGATTAGAATAAAAGAACTTGGCTTTAATGCTCACAAGATCGTGTTCACACCATTCCACAATCCCTTGCAACTTTGTATTGGGAATATATCTCCTAATAAAAAAAGCATACAAGTACAGAGATATTCTTAATGTATGACTATAAAAAACTGTGCCAATAGTGTGAAATCAGTCTTCCTAGCAATGAAGCTAATGTCAAAAGAAAATGGGATTATAGCATATAAGGGCAACTTTTGAGCCCTAATATCAATAAAAGTAACAAATTTAATAAAATTTCAAAAATAAGTTAAATTTTTAAAAATAATATCAAAAAGGGGGCAAAGTTACTGTTCATCTTCTTCTTGTTGTAGATTATTCTTCAGAGCCACCCGCCGTCGCCTCCGGCACACCTCCGCCCACCCCCACCTTCGCCTTTGTTCAATATCGCAACTTCCGCCCACCTCCGCCTTTGCCTCCCCTCCGCCTCTGCCTCCGTTGGCGGAGGTGATAGTGTCAGGAAGAGGTGAAGGCAGAGGTGACGATGCTGGCGAATGGTAGACCAGCGCTGCCATTACCCACTTCCAGAGGCGGAGGTAGAGGCGGAGATCGACGGAGGTGGCGGTGTTGGACAGAGGCGAAGGCGTGCCGGAGGCGGCGACGGGCGGCTCTGAAGAATAATCTACAAGAAGAAGAAGATGAACAATAACTTTGCCCATTTTTGATATTATTTCTAAAAAGTTAACTTATTTTTGAAACTTTATTAAATATATTACTTTTATTGATATTAGGACCCAAAAGTTGCCCTTATCTGATATACTCCCAAAGAAAATCAGTAATGCTACAATATGTAAGAACCATATCCACATTGTAATCCAAAGAGTTGGAGGCATTGCTATCCCTTATTCTCTCTACAGGCTTTCCTTGTAGAGTACTGACATTGTTAACTGCTAAGACTATGTTCATGGGATCAGGTATGATATTCTCCAACAACTTTTTGTTACGAATTTTCCACATAAGCCTAAAAGCGATAGCAACCTTCTCCATAAGTAAGGGTCTCAATGGACCAGTTTTCGATTGGACCCCGTCTAGTCCAAAATCAATTTGGATGGATTGGACAGATCGGCAAGACATTGGATTGGACCAATTTGGTCCAAAATATTTATTAGATTGGACTGGACCTGGTCCGTCCACAACAAATTTATATTGGATTGAGTTTGATTAAGCCAATATCTGATCCATTGATATAAGATAAGAATATATTGTCAATGGACTGGATTTGGGTTAAAACCAATCTAAATGAAAATAAATTTGAACAGATTGAATGGTCCAAACATCAAATTAGACCAATCCAATTTGGTCCAAAACATTTATTAGATTGAACTGGATTTTGTCTATTTATAATAAATTCATATTGGATTGGGTCGGATTGGACCAAATCCATTTCAATTGACATCCCTATCCATTAGTACGTTTTCTTTATTTACCTTTGATAAGGAAACAACTTACCCTATATATTGCCATACAAGGCCAGCGGTATGGATTCTGAGTTCTTGTAAGAACTGATACAAGAAAAGCAAGTGGTAGATCGAATCAATCTTTGTCAAAGAAAAAGAGGGCATATATCAAACACACAAATTTTGTCCTCATGTGTATGGACAATAAATTTTGTCCTCATGTGTGTATGGACAATCTTAAATAACAAAGAAATTGGTGGATCCCACCGTGTGTAAAAGACTAAAGATTGAGAGTTTGGACAATTTATTTGTGTACATGTTGTTCTTAGTTCTTACACTAATGGGCTCTCCAGTCTTATATTATTTAGATAATGGGCTCTCCAGTCTCCACTTGTGAAAAGGAAATTTATGTTTGATTTGGAGAAAAAGGTAGGAAAAGGAAAGGCAAGGTGCCAATTAATTGATTGGTGAGGTCATCTATTGGTCGTAATGGAGATATATGGGATTGAATCCCGCTTACACATGGGTTGGGGTGTGGGTTAGCCCCCGTTGTATAGCCCTTCAAAATAAATAAAAAAAAAGAGAAATTTATACAAATTTTGTAAAGGTTTATGTATCTTTTCCTTTCTTTCCTTGTTTTCTTCTTTCAAACCAAATACATCAGTCTACCTTATGGATTTTTATTAACTTTTTGAATTTTACTTTCCAACAATTCCACCTATCATATATAGTTTACAACCCTCTTGAATTTTAATTCATTCTACTAGCGGAGAGTCCTGCTTTGCACATTTTGGCTCGAAAATTGTGTAGGCAATTGATTTCGTTTTACCCCAATCCTAGACATTTTGGCCATTTTTTATTTTTTTAATTAGAATCATCCAGGCAATTGGTTCTGTTTTATCCCAATCCCGGTCCCTGAATAAAAATCGTTGGAATCGATCAACAACCCATTGACTTAGGCGGTCGAACCAACGACCCGTTCAATGGTTTTTGGCTATTTTTTATATGTTTTAATTTTTGTTATCAAAACGGGTTGTCTGTTCGAACCATGTGGTCGAATCGTCGACCCAAAAAACTGGTGGCTAGAACAGTTCTGTTTTTCAGATCGTATAAGTCATATGCTCGAATGACATAACACGTATGATACTGCTTAATTAATGGACATCACACACTCAATTTTTTGCTTGCAATTCTTGTTGTCAGAAACGGGCCATCTGTTCAAACCAGGTGGTCAAACCGTCGACCCAAAATCTGGGACCAAAACAATTCTGTAATTTTTTGATAAATAATCATAATTTACCTAAAAATTATATTTAAGGCTGATTTTAATAATCATACACCAAAAACACTAAAATAGTCAACTATATGTAACACGTGGCGAAAGGGGAGACCACCCCTTTCATATTAATATATACCTAAAAAATTATATTTAAGGCTGATTATAATAATCATATACTAAAAACATTAAATAATCAATTATATGTAACACGTGGCGAAAAGGAAGACCACCCCTTTCGTATATATATATATATATATTAAAAATCTCTTGTTAAAAAGAAGGGATAATAGCATATAAGGGCAACTTTTGGGCCCTAATATCAGTAAAAGTAATATTTTCAAAAAAATTTTAAAAATAGGTTAACTTTTAAAAAATAATATCAATAAAGGGCAAAATCACTGTTCATCTTCTTCCTCTTGCAATCTATTCATTAGCACCGCCGCTCGCCGCCGCCCACCGCTGCCTCCGCCTTCGGCAATGTTGCCGGAGGTGGGTGGAGACAGAGGCAATGACAATGCTGGTGGGCGAAGGTGGCGACATTGGGCTCACCAGCACGTCCGCCGCCGCCTCTGCCTCTGCCCACCTCCGACAACATTGTCGAAGGTGGAGGTGGGCAAAAATAGGTGGAGGCATTGTCGGAAGCGGCGATGGGCAACAACAGATGATGGCGGGCGATGATGCTGGTGAATAAATTGCAAGAGGAAGAAGATGAGTAATGATTTTGCCTTTTATTAATATTATTTTTCAAAAGTTAAATCTATTTTTTATATTTTTTTTAAATTATTACTTTTACTGATTACCGATATTAGGGCCCAAAGGTTGCCCTTATATACTACTATTCCTAGACAAGAATCTACACGGATAGATATGGACAGTAGACAGTTGGGCACGTATACATCATTTTAAAACCCGAAGTATGATCCCGGCCTCACGGACTTCATGTGATATGTGGGTACATGTGTTGAAAGCGTACGGAGTAGAGAGACAAAACAACCGACACGGGAGACGGGGCTGGGCAATCTAGAAGGAGTGAATTTATCCGCAGCCAATCGGGACTTATGGCATGTGAATAATTGCCGAAAAGCAATTCATCCCCA